TAACTTGTGTTAACCAGAAGGCTATATAATGCAATCTAACGGTACGTTTCCATAATTCTAACCATTGGATTGATACTTTTATCCGACGAGCAACTCACCCCTTCCACACGGCTATAGTGAGTCCACCGAAACGCTTTTCCCTTGAGCATGTTTTTTTAGATTTTCTATGGTTTCGATCCCATGGGACTTGTTAAGCAGTCCATTTTTTTACCTAAAATACACCACTGTTTCACCGTTCCATATTCATCTTTAGTTTACTGCTCGCCACCATCCGCCCAGATCCCCTTGAACTCGGTTGCTTGGTGAGCTATTGTGTTGACGGTTGCTGCGGTTTCGTTTCATCCGTCAGTCGTCTGGTAGCCCCCTCGAATATATTCCGGCGAGTCTAACTTCTGGTATTGGCACTAGATAAGGTGCTTAATTGGTATATTCACAACTAGGTGAGTCATGGCCGAGTTAAGCTGGTCCTATCCTAAGGTACAAAGGAAATGCTGACTGATTTTACCAACTGCTGTATAAAACACTGATGATCCTAAGACCATTGGTTTTTGTGCCATTGATTTCCTTTCAATAATCGATGGAATGCACGACAATTGCAAAACGTTCAGATACACTTAAGCAGATGCTTGGGAAAAGAAAGCAAATTAACCGTGTTTTAGGTGAGTGACAATATGCATTTAGAATATTTAAGTAAAAGGATTCATAACTTTGGTATACAGCAATAGTTCATAAAAAGCGAAAGTGCATGAGCAATTATGATAACACAACAAACGCTTAGACCGATAAATACCACCTTCATGAAGCAATTGGAATTAACGACGCACCTCACAAAAGGGTAAGGTAAGATTACGCAGGGTAATTGCAATTACGTATATACATTGGGTAGGTTAGTTGCAGGACATCAACAGTTTGCCCTTTCAGTAAATCTGTGTCTTGCAGGCGCTCATGCTTTTCACCTAACTGTGTAAGGGAAAGGGAGCAATATATGAAGGCTAAGTAAAACGCCTGCTTATCCAACCCACCAATGTGCGCATGTTTTCCAGACGTCATCAATGAGTCTTCAAGCTAAGTAAGAGCACAGTGAGAAGCAGTGTAGATGAAGAAAAATGCGGTGCCCATGTTTTTATAGATCGCCAACGGGTCATCAGTCTGAGCAACATGGAGAATGTGACAGTACAGAATAAGAGAAATAGACTGATAGATTATATTTATCCCACATGTAGATATGCCAATGTTCTCATAGGTCACCGGTGGTCATCGATTTGAGTAATCCCAAAGGATTTGACAAAGTAGGAGGTAGGAATGAAAGAGAAAGCTACGTAATCCAGCAAGAAATACTCCTGTTAAGAGAATGTTGTATTTCACATCGTGTCGATAAGCATTTCTCCCCATCTTTATCTGCACTTTCGCATTGCGAACTCTGCAAACGATGAGTTGTTACCAGGCCATTTGTCTGTGCAACTGACGCGAAACAATTCTTTAACTTTATTAACAGTTAACTACTCTGTTAGTTAATGGAAATTGGGTATTGCCCACCCGAAAACACTGCACAGCCACGACGCGTTTCGATGTAATTTCATCTCATCAGGTGGAGACAGCAGGAGTTGAACCCACGACCATTGGAATAGTAGCCCACACTACTACCCCTTTGGCTACCGGGTCAAGATGGGCAAAGCTTTTTGTCACAACGGTGAATGACTAACTTGAGGGTCAAGTTTGGATTACACGTTGTGTGACTGGATTGCGACACGCAAATTGTGAACGAATCCACAAGTTTGTACTAACTCTCAACTCGTCAGTTTCCAAAGTACCTGTTGCTAAGATGTACTTCAGGTGATAACGTGCCCTCGTACTTTGCGGTTACAATGAAGAATGATTTTATACGGGTTAAGAAGCATTGCTTTATAAGCCCCGTTTTGTGGTCTGCTGGGTTATCGTAAAACGTTTGCGAAAAGAGTAGTTAGCAGTTTTGCTGTCAAAATAATGGGCTTGTCGATTTTGCTTCAGTAACACTGCACCCCGAGCGTTTCCACAGCTTCAGTAGTCGAAAAAAGGAAATCCAAGATATTTCCCGGGAGTAGGATGGAGAATCGTGTCAAGTACCAAAATGTAAATGGCGGAGTGTGTCATCCAACCGACTTTTACAAATGACTAGCGTGGGTGCTAAATCAACAGATTCGAGGAGAGCATTCCATGCTTGGCACATACGAATGGATAAAAAGTTTCTAGGGCACGCCAGGCGGCTGTACTGTTCTGTTATTTTCAAAGAGTGGCCTCTAAGTTTGAGGTTACTGCCGAGTTGCAGTAAAGAACGGCACACATGAATTGGATTGTGCAAAATCAAATACGTCATAATCAAGTCGTCTCGCAGTCGGCGTACCGCCCGCTGAATACTCCCAAACGTTTCAGGCTCTGCTGTTACGGAAGATGGCGCATTCCAATGACTTATTTAGAAGCCCGACGTTGAGATTGGTCCAGTGCAGTAAGGTCGTGCTTCAGTCATGGCTGCCAGGTTTGGTTTACATATTCGACATGGGAACGAACATACGCATTCAGCATCTGTCTGAAAACAGTGGTGTCTAGTTGCCCGTCGTAGCAAGCCGACTTGCTGGTTATCAGTTTTCGAAGCCTTTGCGGATTGCTTGGAACAACCCGTTATCCTGAACGAGGACGCCAACGTTGCGTCCGACGGATGACCGCTGCAGTACCTGCGTTCCTAGCTTGTAGGAATAAGTACTATGCTGTCGTATGGAGAGTACCTAGCATTTTTCCAGGTTGAACTGTAAAAGATTTCAGGTTGACCAATCATGTGCCGTAGCAAGGTCACACGAAAGTAAATTCTGATCGGCATCCGCCTGAATCCGGTGCCATATCCAACGTCGTTAGCAACAGCAGGAAATTTGAAACAGTATTTCGTGCAAGATCACTGATGAATAGCAAAAAACAACCGTGGACCTAGTATTGAGCCGTGGGGCACATCAGACTCGACTGGTATGGATTCGGATAGGTAACTCCTGACACCACTAATTGTCGCTGTAGTAGAAAGTTGACGATCCAGCTCAAGAGAGGGTCACGGATCCCGTAATATTGGAGCTTGGAGAGGTGAACCTGATGACCTAATCGATCGAACGCCTTCGACAAATCCAAGTAGATCACATCAGCGGCCTCTCCAGCGTTAGCTGACTCGGTCCAACTACTCCGCACGATTAAGAAATTCGTCGTGCATGGTTGCTGTCGAAGAAAGCCGTGTTGCTCGAGAGCAATAGTGTTACAACTTGCTAGATAACACAACAACGTGGCGGAAACGATGGCTTCCACGACGTTGGATAATACAGGGAGAAGGGACACTGGGCGGTAGTTCGAGGGCTCAGTCCTGCTCCCGTCTTTGTGAATCGGAGTTATTACTCCACGTTTCCACATCGCGGGGATTTGGTCCTGGTCCGAGCAGCGCTGGAGGAACTATGCCAAAGGTTTTACTAGTTGTCCTGCTGCTGCTATTGGTTCTATACGAATTGTGTCGACTCCCGGGGAGCTGTAGTTGCGCAGAGACGTCGGTTTCCGTAAAACAGCTTCAGCAGTAAGCGAGATGTGGGTGAGTCCTGGGGGCGGGAAAACAAAATTTGTAAGACGACCTGATGGTAAGACCCTCTGAAATGTGGGAGCAGACTGCGTCTGCAACACGTTTGCTGTTTCCACATCCGTTCTTCTTGAACCACCAGTCTTCCGGAGAGGAGGAATTCCCTACCTCACCTTACGACGTCCATTGATATAATTGTACGACAGTTTGTGGTAGCGCTAACAGATTCCGCCGTATTCTGCTGGTATGCGACTTTGTCATCTCTGAGCATTCCAGTGCAGTGTGTACGATGTGCTACGTAGTTGTCCTAATCATCTGTCTTGGGTGATGATCTGTACTCTCGACAGGCTACGTTTCGTATAACCATGCATTTGCAAGTTCTGCTCCTCACGAATGCAGTGGATTTGCGTCCACTCCTCTTGTCTCTGAGGCATCCGTAGGCAGTTGATCGAATTTGCTGACAAATTCAAGCCAAGCGACTTCCGGATGTCCTTCAGCGAGGAACGACCAGGTGGTGGTAATGACGACCTGCGCTAAACGGTCGTAGCTCTTAATGATGCGCACCAACTCGGGGTTCTGGTTGCGATATTCCGCATAACAAAGGAAGTCGAAACCGATGAGTGTATAATCACTGTGACCCAAAGGGCATTCTAACTTCAATACGTCAATCATAAATTACTTGTTGCTGAAAACAAGATAAAGCAAAGAAGGTCTATTATCTGTTCTGGAACAAGTGGGGGTAATGACGTGATTGTAAAGTGGAACACTGGGTATAAGCTCCTGAAGATCTGCTTTGAATGATTCTCCGATTGTAGCAGACGTTTCTAAACAGTGCACCTTGAAATCACCTATGAGCAGGATGTAAGTGTGCTTTCGCTTTAGGCTACTTCTTAAAGCTGTCGTAAGTTGGCAGTCCATTTCCGGTGGAGTTTGTGGGGTGGTATACCAAAGCTATAATGTAGGTATCTCTGCCAGGTAAGTGCAGGTGGTACCAAAGGGAATCGGTAAACTATAAGTTCGAATCCTCAATGGCCTCGCACTGTAGGTTGCTTTGGTAATACAGAATTACTCCTTATATATATATATACATATATATATATATAAATATTATACACAATCTGTGGTACAGATATTGTGCCATCGGAATCATGGCTGAATAGGAAAACAATATGAATAATAAGAAAAGAGCAACAAGAAATGCTTTTTTTTGGTCAAGTTTACCACTCACTGATGTTGAAATTCTTTTTTCAGTTTGTTCTTTTTTAGGAGGAGGAAGAAGGGACACCGCAACACACTGATGCACACGTCCGCCATTGACATCGATCTTGAGCCATAACTTCCAAGGTTTTCAACCAGCAAGTATCCTCATCTCTCGGACCCCAACCAGGTAGTCGACAACAACCGGCCGAGGCCAATTGTTTCGTCAACTTTTCATGCGGCTTCTCCATGTTGTAGGCTGTCCACCAGACCGTCTCTTCCAGCCCGGTCCAGCAAGTACAAACAACGCACGACGGGGGTAACGCTGGACAGGCATGCGCAATACGTGTCCCAACCACCGCAGTTGATGCAGTGAGATGAGCTCCTCTTGCGAGTGGCTTCCACGTCCCAAGACACGCTGTCTAACTTCCACATTGCTTACGTGGTGCTGCCACCACACACGGGCAATGGACCGCAGACAGCGGTGCTCGAAGACGGATAGCCTGCGCAAGTCATCTTTACGAATGGGATAGGTCTCGCATCCGTACAACAGTACAGCACGAACAGTTGCACAATAGACCCGCCATTTGATGGAGAGATGAATGTTGTGGCGACGCCACAAATGCCTCAGCCTAGAAAAAGCGAGGCGTGCTCTCGAGATGCGTATCGAAATCTCGTCTCCAATAGCCCCGCCAGCAGTGATGCAACTTCCCAAGTAGACAAAGCTCTCCACAACCTCCAGTGTCTCACCAGCAAGCGTGAGTGCAGGCAGAGGCACCTGCCAGTCTTGAAGGAGAGCCTTGTATTTGGACGGCGAAAAGTACATACCGTACTTTGATGCTTCAATCGCCAAGCGGTTTAATGCAAGTTGGACGACCTGTGGATCGTCACCCAGCAAGACGATATCATCAGTATAATCCAAATCAACAACTCGACTACCTGAGAAGAGCTCAACGCCAGCGTTCAACGAATCGCTCAGAGCGTTCTTCAGGACATCCTCAATGGCAAAGTTGAATAGGAACGGAGAGATAGGCCATCCTTGTCGAACTCCACTGGAGACCACAAAGGTAGGCGAAAGCATGCCATAAGCCCTAACCCTGCCCGAGGTCAGACTGTATACAGCGCGCAGTATGGAGGTGAACTTCTCGGGGACACCGTTCCTCAGAAGGCACTGCCACAGTACTGTACGATCGACAGAATCGAAGGCTGCACGGATATCCAGGAACACAGCAATCGTTGGCCTCTGATACACATGGCGGAGCTCAAGGATCTGGCGAAGTTTGAAGATTTGATCGATGCAGCCGCGACCAGGGCGAAAGCCAGCTTGTTCTTCTCGTTGCAACGATTCGCGTGTTGGGGATAGCTTGCGAAGTATGATGGACACCAGCAGCTTGCAAACGACGGGGACTAAACTTATTCCTCTGTAGTTGGAGCAGATTGTGTGCAGGCCCTTTTTGAAGATGGGTACGACTATCGATTCACCCCAAGATGATGGAACCTTCTCTTTCGACCAAATTTTCGAGAACAAAGCGGTGAGTTCTCGAACCAGCGATGCGCCACCATCTTTGAATAGAGCTGAGTGAAGACCATCAGGGCCGGGGGCTTTATAACGCTTCATGTGCCGGAGCTCCTGCTCGATTTCCTGGGAAGAGGAAGAGTCTGTTGGGGTAGACCACTCGGCCCCAGCGCGAGCGCCAGAGGTAGCAGATGGAGCTGGGGGCCAACAAAACTGCGAGCAAAAATGTTCGGCCCATCGCTCCAACCGTCATTGAAGGTTGGTGATTAAGGTGCCATCCGCTTCGCATATTGTTTCACTTATACCAGATCCAACACCTTCGGTGACTCGAAGGAGATGGAAGAGTTTCCTGGTATTACAAGAGAGACTAGCAAGCTCCATCTCCCTAGCACGTTCACACCACCAAGCTTCGCGGTCCATTTGCAGACTCCTGCGCAACTCTCGACCAAGGTATTGGCGTTCTTCAACGTGTCTGGAATCCGATGGGATCAAGCGGCTTCTGTCCATCAGCGACAAGGAGTCGGCGGAAATCCAATGTTTCGGTGGGTGACGGGTAACTAAACAAGTGTCGATACTGGCGGAAACTAACGCATCTTTGATATGCGCCCACTGCGAATCGAGATCACCGTCAATAGTTGAGCCAAGCAAAGTTGACAGTGAGGCTTGGTACCTGGTTAAAACCGCAGCGTTTTGTAGATTCGCGACGTCCGGTCGGTAGTGGGCGCGCTTAGGTGATCCTCCGAAACGCATGCAAATCTTAGCACGAACCAATGCGTGATCAGAGTCTAGAAAAGTTGACCAGTACGATCGGCAGTCCGTTACGCTTCCGCGCCATCTGTAGCTGATTGCTATGTGGTCAAGCTGGGAGCACTCTTGCGTTTGTGAGGGCGGGCGCCAGGTAGCAGTCTGTCTCCTCGAGTGTCGAAAACTAGTGCTCGAAAGAAACAAGCGATGATCAGAGCAAAGAGCAAGTAGTCTGTCTCCATTGTCTGATCGACTGCCACCGAGACCAAAACTACCCCCAATGTGGTGCTCACTTGGTAGAAGGTGGCCAACCCGTGCGTTAAAGTCCCCGGCAAGAATGACTATATCCGTCCGTTTGGAGGAACGCAGAAGTTCATGTAGTTGTTGGTAAAAGCTATCTTTAACTGCATCCGGGCTGCAGTCTGTAGGGGCGTAGGCGGAGACGACAAATAAGGCACGCTTAACATCTCGACGCCTGCTTACGTTACATGAACCTCTTAGTCTGACTGCACATAGTCGGCTGTTGACTGGGATCCAGTCAAGCAGAGCTGATTCAGCCGTAGCACTTAATACAACCCCAACACCAACTTGACCAGTGGCGGCAGATTCTGGGTCTCCGGAAAGGCGCAAGTAGTATTTGGCGTCAGAGTTTACCGGAGAGGCCATTCTGATGACGGCGCTAGAGTCTTGTAATCTGGTCTCTGAAAGACAACAGATGTCTACCGATAGCGTTTCGAGTACGGGCCAGACATGCTTGTCGTCCGATCTGCATTAAAGTTCGAACATTAAACACTGCGAGGATGAATGGAGAACCAGGTCGAAGAAGAGCTGAAGCTTCGGTGAAGTGAGAGGCGGTTGCGATCGCAGGACATTGAAAACCGTGAGTTTGGCTGTTACTTCCATCAGCTGCGAGACGTGGGTCGTTTGTGACGGTGACCGTAGAAGACACAAGAGTACATGTATGTGAAGGACGGGAGGTGGGGTGGTCTGTGAGTGGACGTTGAGCTGTTGAGTTAAGACAGAAGAGCGGTATAACAGTAGTAGTAGTGAGCGGTGTAGTCCATGATTCGTCAGTGGGCGTGATACTACCCGGTTGCCCAGGCCGAAGTAGAGGGTTGTCTTAGGGGGCCCTACCCCGAGCCTTTGATCAAAGATCTAACCTACAAGGCAGCAGGGCGATGTGAGGGCGTCGCAACCCGTTGGGAGCCGGTGACCAAGTAGATGGTTCATACGCCTTTCGGTCCGTGAAGGACCAGGGGCCCAACTCACCCTTAAAGTACAATGCCTCTCAGGGAGGGGCAAGGGGCAGTGACTTTATTTAGTGGCGAGTCACATCCGCCACGTCGCAGTGTTGTTAAACGGACATATGTGGCTTTTTATAGGGAGAACGCTTGCTAGGCGAAAACCCACCACGTCCTGGAACACTGCCGCCGAACCATTCCCTGGAACGGGAAAAAACCCGAACCACCCAGCTGGCACCACGAGGAGGTTGTTCGGCAAGCCTATCGTTTCGTATGAGTGACATGCGCGGCAGCGAGACATCAGCGTCTGTCATCCCATTGTGCAACCATGTCTCTGTGACCCCGATAATATCGCATGGCTTCGAAATTTGGCTATCCCTCAGTTCGGTCAGCTTAGTAAAAATGTCTTGAGCATTTGCATAATGGCAGGATATTTTCACGGTCTCTAGAAGCCCACATGGAGTCAAAGTAATCAAGTGTGGTAGCATGCCGACCGATGAGAGGTCGGCCGTTATTCTTTTCTTGATGGGATGATGATGATACGTCATTCGCAAACTGATTTGACCAAGATACGTCCCATTCCCCGTCCGGACGTATTGCAGCATTGCGTAACAGAACGGAAGTGATGCTTATGCGTAATCGCTAATGGGATTTTTATCAGGTAGGTTCATGTCTGGTATTCGTAAGAAATCAACAACTTTTAACCGAAGTTCAGATGGAAGGCATTTGCGATGTCTCCGCTGACGTTCTAACACTTCCGTTGCTGTCTCCTCTGACTGAACCAGGACTTTTAAGATTCTTGGTCCGCTTCCTCTATAATTTGGTGAGAGAAGTAGACTTTTGAGAGATCGCGCCACAACGTTGTCCAAGGAACGTGTTTCACGAATGAATCGCCACTGTTCTAAAGTGGAATTACCGGCCTCATAACTATGATAAGAAGCAAGTTCTGGCACGCCATAGATAAACATGGTGCTTGGATAATCCAGGTTGCTATGTTCACCTGTGATGTTTCTTTTCTATTGTCGCGTGTTCCAAGGGACCTCAGGATAGATGCGTACCTTACAATGCCTGTATTCTGGCGCACTTGCAGAGTAAGGAGTTTTCTGCATCAATCGCCGATTGCAGTGTTACCCTAATAATTCTGGGTTCGCCATAGTGTGCAGAGTTCGGGTGAAGAGTAACTTTCACTAGGTTTGTGGGTTTGGCTGTTACATTCATTAAAAGGTACAGTGAATTTCACTGGTCTTGGTCGTCAGACAACTTACCTTGCAATGTGATGGCGGTAGATTCGGGGACATTGGTGCATACGACAGTCAGGGAGTTATTATTGGGGCCCTTTTTGTTGAACTGCAAGGTCGGGTAACCGTTGGGCCAGGCCTCATGCCAAGTGATGATGGCCCACTGTTTGTCGCTCTATTGATGTTAGCGGTGTTTGCAACAGAGGAGACACCAAAGGTAGCATCCCGACGGATTCTCGCAGCGATTTCTGCATTTGTGACTGGAGCCGCTAGCGATTTGAACTCGACCAGAGACCCTTGGGTTGTAAATGTATTAGACTCGGGTTCGGCTGTCTTATCCTTGTTAATGATACTGTTAGATCTTCCCTTTTTCGCTATTCCGAATTAACCACCCAGAAATTTTCTCCGCAGCAATTCTAGCCCAGCCGAAGAAAAATCAAAATTCCAACAGCCTTGACCACGAAAAACGTGTTAACAAAAACTCTGCCCACGTAGCCAGAAAATGTCGCCGAAAACACTGTCCTCTCAATTCCGAGGCAAAAGTCCAATTAGCCGAGTGTTTTGAAAATGCATTCGTCCGCTCGATCCATTGCCTGATCGACCGCACGGGTAGACGATTCCCTTCAGCCCAGCTTTCAATCATCATTATATATTTTCCCTTTTTTATGTTTTTATCTGATTCCCGGATACCTCCCCTCCTAAAGCTGTTGCCGTTGTGTAGGATGCTAGCCGGGGATAAAGCTGGAGCCTCCTGGAAGGGATTCTTCGCCTACCGGTGCATCGCCTTGGCTGTAGTGTTCTGGATTCGAATTCCGTACTCTGCGGTCTGGTACTATTCGTCTGATGACAGGGTTCTTCTACTGGCTCTGTAGGTAAGTTGAAGCTGTCTGTCAACAGGTCAAATGGTAGCTTGGCGGATTCTATTGCTTGTGGTTGACACATTGTTGTTCGCAGTTGGTTTGCATGGCGTACCCATACCTGCGTTCCAACTAGCACGTCGTAAATGACGCTTCCGCGCTTGCGCTGGATCGTGCTTGGCGTCCATTTCGCGTGTCCATCCCGATAATCACGCACAAGTACTGGCTGACCCGGTCTAAACGAACGTTGCTTGGCACCAAACCGCCGATTAAAATCACGTTCCATCTTTAGGTTCCTTTCACCAGCTATGGACTCTGAGGATGGCCGAACTGCATCATATGGCATGCGAAGTTTTCTCTTCATCATTGCCTCTGCTGGTGATATTCCACCCGGCGTTTGTGGATTTTGTGTAGATCGGTACAGAAATAGGAAGAGGTCGATCACCTCCTCTATGTCTCCCTCCCTCCTTGATTTGAGGAGAGCGCGTTTGAATGTATCCACAAACCTCTCTGCTTGGCCATTCGATTGTGGGTGGAATGGTGGAGACCGCACGTGTTTTATGGCGCAACGTTGGCAGAATTCCATGAATGTGGCCGAAGTAAACTGTGCTCCATTGTCCGTCACCAATGTTTCAGGGCAGCCGAACCTGCTGAAGATTTGTCGCAACCTAGAGACGGTTGCGCTTGTTTTCGTGCTTCTCATGAGGAACACTTCGGGCCACTTGCTATAAGCGTCGACCACTATGAGAAAGTTCTGGCCATTGATTGGGCCTGCAAAGTCTACATGAACATGACTCCAAGGTTTAGTTGGTTTAGGCAATGAGCGGAGTTCAGTCTTTGGCGGTGCACTTGAGGCGGTAGCGCAGTTGCCACAACTTTTAGCTAGCTGCTCCAGCTGCCAGTCCATAAACGGCCAATACACATAACTTCTGGCAAGCGCTTTCATTCGGTTGAGCCCTGGATGTCCTTCATGGAACTGTCGCAGCACTCTTTGCTGCAACGCCTGCGGGATGACTACTCTGTCTGAGAACATGATGCAATCGTCCACAATGGAAAGCGAATGTCTTCGCTGATAGAACTGCTGCATTTCGGCAGATGAACACGAACGTGGCCAGCTGGTTCTGTGGAAGTGTGTCACATTCTTCAGGATTGGGTCTGGAAGCGTTTCGGCCCGCACAGCATCGGCCGTAACTGGCATACCATGTAGTGCCTCGTTCACCAGGAATTTGACATCAGGTTCGATCTCAACTGAGGCAATGATGGTGTCCTCGTGTTCTTGTTGCTGGGAATCAATGAGGCGTGACAACGCATCTGCTTGGCCCAGCAAATTCGTTGACTGATAACGGATTTCAAAATCATAGCCCAGCAAGGTGAGTGCCCATCGTTGTAGTCGATTGGCTGTATAGGCAGGAATTCCCTTCTTCGAGCCGAAAATGGCCAGCAGCGGCTTGTGATCCGTCAAGAGTTTGAAGCGGCGACCATACAGCATCTTGTGAAATTTCTTCACAGCAAACACTATGGTCAATGCTTCCTTCTCGATCTGACTGTAGTTTCTTTCAGCTTTCGTTAGCTTCCTGGCGGCATGTGCGATCGCCTTCTGAGATCCATCTGGGAACGTATGGGAAACTACGGCACCGATTCCTAGACTCAATGCGTCTGTGGCAAGGACAATTTTCCGGGAAGGATCAAAATGAGTTAGGAGTAAGTCTGAAGCCAACAATGACTTGACCCGTTCAAACACAGTCTGGCATTCTGGCGTTCAATTCCAGGTTTGGCCATTGCTCAGCAACTTATTCAATGGGGCACGCAGACGATGTAGTTCGGGCAGAAAAGCGCTGTAATGATTGATTAGGCCACAGAATGAACGCAGCGACTGCAAGTCCACAGGTGGGGGCATCTTTTGAATAGCTCGGATATTTTCTGGATCAGGGCGACGACCGTCTTTTGAGAAGATGTAACCGAGAAACTTGATGGTTGGTGTAAAAAAGGTACACTTATCTTCGCGGATACGGAAACCATATGACTGGATACGTACAAGCACTTCAGCGAGCCGCTGAAATAGTTCTTCTGCCGTCCGACCCATTAAAATGATATCATCCAGGTACGCCGCGGCTCCAGAAGCTCCCGCGAGCATGGTGTCCATCAGCTGCTGGAAAATGGCTGGTGCTGTTTTCACGCCAAAAGGGAGGCGGTTGTATTGGTACAAGCCACGATGAGTGTTGATGGTCAGCAATTCTTTTGAGCTTTCATCAACCTCAACCTGGAGGTAGGCATCGGACAAGTCGAGCTTGGCGAAACATTTCCCACCATTCAGCTTGGCAAAGATATCT